TTTAGAAAAGATAGTAAAATGGTTTCTCGTCTTTGTTTTGAATTCAGTGTAGACTTTTTCTAAGATTGGCTGCTATCCAAGACTCAAATTCCTCCTGTTTAACCCTAATCCTACTGGTGGAGTTAAGTTGTAAAAGAAGACCCGAATAAAAAGAATAAAAATGCAAATGGACGATAAAGACTGAAATGAAGAGAACAAAGAATAATAAAACAAAAACCGACAATTTGACTTCCGAGGAGAAAAACACAATAAAGTTATCTATTTTAAAGGATTTCATTGTTTTGCTAAGTAAATTCCAATGAAATGGAATCAGTTAAATTTAATGATCTTCCATTTAAACTTCTAATGTAACTGCACCAGATTATCGCAAAGGAAGGAGAGACACAAATAGATAAGAAAGAGGTCTGCTTCTTTAGACCAGTGCTTCTCAAACTTTATTTCTCTGGGCCTCATTTTTGGAATTAAAATTTGCTCGCGCTTCACCAAATTTTATGTGATAAAAAAATCAAATATAAAAACAGAGCGTGGGTTAAAGAGAGATAATCACAAGATATGCGTTAAATAACAGCGTAGACATGTTTTTTTAGCTTTTAGAGACAATCAATTTATGAGAAGGAAAAATCTGAATTTCAAACCGTGGAGAACAGGCAACAGGAAACTACTCCACCAGGAATTAATGGCAATTCGCAGATAATCAAAAACGGAATTTGTGGAGAACCTGAAGTGATATGGTATTTAAAATAAAATATAAATAATCTTGTCTCAGGAAAAAGGCTTAAAAATTTCTTTTATGAATTACACAATATAACACAAAGGTCATGAAATGAGTGTGTCCTTTGTTTGGCAAATAACATTCGAGTTGAATGATAGAATGGTGAAACCGAGGTACAGGGAGGGAAAGATTTCTTTGTGTAATTGTCTGAGTCAAATATGAAACAAGCATTCTTTACCTCATTACGTCTGACGATTTCCGCATTGTAGATTGTCACGTTCTACTCAACACACCTTAAAGCGTTGCGTAGTCGAATATCAAGGAAGGTGAAAATTAAAGTGATAATTTATTATTGTAAGTTACAGTAAATGTGGCACAAGGCCAAAATGAGGATAGGGGTGGCTGGTTTTCACTTGTCCTACTTTTAACCTAGATAAACATACTCATTGAAAATTTTGGGCAAGTATTATTCCTTTCGCCACAACAGCCTACTAGACATAATACAATCACCAAAATACCTCATTTGGTCAATGGAAATTCTTAACTAAAGCCATATAAACAATTTCTATAACTCTTTAGATACTTACGTGTTGTTTTCTATATGAGGTTGCATGGTCACAACGTGGTCATGGGTTATGTGATGTGTTTACACGTATTGCCATCATTCAATGACGTGTCATTGAAGGTTTTTTTTTCTGTAAGCACCGTTGCTGAATATATTTCAAAGACTAATACGGAGTTGTATTCCGTCTGCAATATAACAGTTGCAATTAAAAAAAAAATATTACATTATTCGACTTGTCCTGGGTAACTTTCTATTTAATGATATTAAAGATTTTAAGGGTTTAACATAAAGTGTACATGTCTCTTCATGTGCGAGTCTCTGTGTGTGCGTGTCGGCAGAAGTTGCATTCAATTGTACGCTAAAATAGAAAAGAAAATGAAAACCCATTTCTTGCTATAAATTTCTTGCTTATCTTTGGTTGCAGTTGTGGCGGCAAGAAGGAAAATAGATTTAGCATAACAGAAAATATCAGTCGTATTTTCAAAGAGATTTATTCCCCCAACACCTACACAAAAATTGTTCCAGCTGTGATGATATGCGTATATAGTTTAATAAAATACACCTTTCATTAGATTTCTTGAGAGAAGACTGTAGGCATATTTAAAAAAATAAAAAAATGGAGGTCACAATTTTTGATTTGCATTGGTGGTGGGAAGGATGACCCGCAACCGCTGGTAAGATTTGGGCGATGTCATTTAGGTGAATTAATATAATAAAATAGCATGTTGTTATAAGGAAGTAGATATTGTCCAGTTTTGGAATGTTGTTTATAGAGGCGGCAAATTCTACGACCGCCCCAGGCGGCAAATTCTACGACCACCCCAGGCGGCAAATTCTACGACCGCCCCAGGAGGCAATAGCGCTCCGTACGCTGTTTTATGTTATTTTTTCTCATTGATATGTGCATACAGTTAGTATTACTACTGATTCTGTCTCTAATACGACTAAAAGCACTACCCCTACTACAACTAATAATAATAATGATGATTTCTTGGTATAATTTTGTGGTCGCTTATACATTAAAACATGAACTTTCTTATCATGAGTCCCGTGTTCAAATCTCATCATTACTGTTTTGTTAATGAGATGTCTTTTTTTTTTTTTTTATAATATCGACGGAGAAAGTACGATTCAAGCATGTGGTGCTATAGGAAAGTATCGGGTTGACTAAGCTAATTGGAAGCCGTCGATAGTTGTGTTGACACTGTGACTTTGGTCAACCGCTGATAACGCCAGATTATGCCTTCTCATCCAGAAATTGTAAGTTATAGTCGGCATACTTGTAGTGTTAACAATTGAACAGGCATCTGAAACAGGAGTTAATTAGTACTTTTTTGGTGTATGTTCTGATACAGAATATCTGCGTGGCCCCATTTTTTATTTCTTTTTTTTTTAAATTATGGATAAGCAAAGTTCTCAAATTTTCTTAAATGTCAATTGAATTAGATATCTACAATTAGGGGGCTATCTGCTTTCTTTTCATTTCACTGAATGATAAAAAAGGAAGACCATCTTTAATAAATAAGGTCGAAACTCGGACTTGGAAACATCGAATTATTGTAATATCAATCTGTACAACTGTAAATATTGAGAAAGTTGTTGCGATTATTGAGCTTATTCTTTGTGTTTCTTTTGTTGTTTCTCCTACCAGCTGAACAATTTGTATCTTTGCCACCGTCTTTTTCTGGTAGCAAACGTTTTTCAGTATAAATCAACCATTCGCCTTTCTATGGAATACTGGTGCCCCCACTGTTCGCCTTAAGGTCCTCGACAAAATCCAGAGACGGATATGCAATGTGATTGGCCCTGATCTGGCATCTCGTCTACAGTCGTTCTCTCACAGACGTTCCGTCGCCTCCCTCTGTCTTTTCAACAAATACTTTCACGGTAACTACTCCGGCGAGCTACTTTCGCTAGTTCCCAAACTGCATGAATTTAAATGTTCTACTAGGCTGGCATCTCGCTCTCACCCTTTCACTGTCGAAACGGTTAAGTGTAGCCGTCTCTTCGACTCCAAGAACTTCATGTCTCGCACCTCCCGTCTGTGGAATTCCCTTCCTATTACTTGCTTCCCTGATAGCTATAATCTCCAAATAATGTAATGTCAATCAACGTCAGATGTCTTGATCTATTCCCCGTCCTTCTTTTCATCCTTTCCTCTATAACGCCTCTTTACTCTCGCTCCCACTCTCTGTAACTTCCTTGCCTTTTTAGTGTCACTCCCGCTTGGCTTGGAGTGAAATGCTTAAGAAAAAGTATGCAAAAAAGGCCACAGAATAGATCAAGGAATTCCATTTTAGATGCTCGTCACGACTCGTGATTATCGGGATATAAAAATTAGTCCATTCAAAATTATTCAGAACTGACACATCTATCTATCTATCTATCTATCTATCTATCTATCTATCTATCTATCTATCTGAGGGGGTGCTAAAAGTTCCCAAAATCTAGCCAAATGAACAAACATCAGGAGTTTTCAGCCCTACCTTTTTGTGTGTGTGTGTGTGTGTGTGTGTGTGTGTGTGAGAGAGAGAGAGAGATGGAGAGAGAGAGAGAGAAAGTGTGTGTGTGTGTGTGCGCGTGCGTACGATCTGGCCAGCACGTTGGTCATAATGGGAAGATGCCTGACTCGTTCCGTCAACCAACCTATAGCGCATGTCATACTGCATCAACTGATGCAACAGACATAGAATAAGGTATCACATGATGGTATTCGTCATCCGTACCAGAAAGCATGCAAGAGCATAAAGCTGTGTTAACAAGAATATGCAATATGTTAATACGACATTTTGAGGCAGATTCTGTATATATGAGAGCGAGAGAGGATTAGTATTTGGTAGGTAGGTATAATCAGGTATAATAGTTATAAACACGAACCATAATCAGTAAACTCAAACTGGGATGGCATGAATTCTCCCTGAATTCTGTTCCCTGGCACGATGGAGTAATGGATAGTGGCTCGGATTGAGGAATCGGAGAGCCGAGTTCGAAATCCAGTCGAATTCATTACATTCACTTACGTATCCTTAGGAAAGGTATAAATCCTCTTCTAAATAGCAGGACAGACTAGGTAGCCAGACTACCGCAGAAAGAAATGGCAAACTACTGCGGGAAAAAAAAATCTGCCTCGTCAGTCATGTATCGTAAGATACATGATCGCCTAATCGTGTATCACGCAGGGCACATAATTCACTGGTCTTGACAAGGTGTAATCGCTCGCATAACACAATGGCTGACTAAGAAGACACTGGGTGAGTGAGCATCCAGATAGTCGTAAATTTCAAACGCTGTTATAACCATTGGCAACTTTAAAAGAGACCAGGTTTGTTTCTGGGCAAGTTTTAATATGCACACATGTGTCTGTGATTGTATTGTACACGTGTGTGTATTCATTATCGTAATCTTTTTTTTTTCGGTAACAGCTGCGAATCAATCAACAAGCTAGTGAAGAGACACCGCGAAACGAAAGCCCACCATCGAGGAATTTGCCTATTTTCATGTCTCTACAGATAATTCTGGTGTACCTAGCACTGCAAGCTCACATTCACGGGCGATAAGGATTGTTTTTCTCTCGTTTGTCCGTAAGAGAAGATTTTACGGGCTGCTCAGCTGAACATGCGACAGAATTAACAGCATCTGAGCGGCATAACTTTTTAAAAACAAAAATGGTGACAACAATGACTGCTGGTTTCGGTTGAGTTAAAATATTTACTTCAAGATAGGCTAATTAGAGCCAGGCGCAAGATAGAGACAGGATGACAGAGAGAGAGAGTGAGAGAGAGAGAGAGAGAGAGAGAGAGAGAGAGAGAAATAAGGAAGAGCAAAAAGAGATAAAAATGAAGAATGAAAATAAAATAAAAGATAAAACATAAAAAAGAGAAATGAATGAAAGACAAAAGAAGAGAAAAGAAAGAAAAGGGAGCGAATGAAAAGTAAAGAAATCAATGAAACACAAAAAAATGAATAAAAAAAAAAAAGAAGAAAGACGCACATTTCCGTGATGGCTAGCCTCTACGAAAATAACATTGCTCATTCTCGGACTCACTTTCTAAGCTGATATGAAGTAGAAAGACTATAATGAATCCATTTCTAGGTTAACTGCTAACAAAGTCAGTTCACTGTGTCGTGCGAGACAATATTTCTCCCCAGAATCTATCTTACATATCTATAAATCTACCCTTCGTCCATTGCTTAGAATATTGCTGCTACATATAGTCCGGTGCCTTTGCTATTTACATTGAGCTCCTTGATAAAATCCAAAAATGAATCAGCAATATTATTTGTCCTGATCTGACGTCTCGGCTTCAGTCACTTTCTCATCGTCTTAATTCTCCCCTCTTTTTCTTTTCTATAAACAATTTCATGATAATTGTCCGGATCAGCTCTTCGCTATGATACCTAGTCTTTTTGGATTTAAGGGCAACACTAGACTGGCGTCATGATCTCATCAAATTACAGTTAAGCTGGCTAGATATAGCTGTAAATTCTATGCTAACAGTTCCTTTCTCGCATTTCTCGCTTGTGGAACTCCCTTTCGGCTCTATGTTTTCCAGCCGTCTTTGATCTTCAAATATTTAAATGCAATGCTAATCGCTATCTACTGTTCTCTTAATTACTCTTTTCCCTTCCGGCTCATTATCAATGTTTCTGTTCCTAATTCTTCCACACCCTGTAACCCCTTGTGTCTTAGTGGCTTTACTGCCTGATGCCGATTAAACAAAAAAAGCTTCACGAACCAGGATTATTTGGGTAAAATTATTCTTATTTTATATTTTTTTACTAATCGGTATGTAATGCCATTGATTTCTTTTCTTTTTCTTTTTTGATACCATCTTAAGTTTATTTTAAAAACCTGAGTGCCTAACACACACACACACACACACACACACACACAAACACACACACACACACACACACACACACACAAACACACACACACACACACACGCGCGCGCGCACACACACAGAGGAGTGTTCTTGTTAGCTACATTCCCCAGATAATTTTCCTTTTCTTCCAAAGAATACTGGTTCCACTCTTGAAAGAAGTACATGATCGAGATGAAGTCCATATGAATGGTTAACTAATGAATGCTAAAATTTATGTCAGAGTTACACTTATGAGTTGGATTCCTTTGGCTAACAAACATTTCCGATTGTCATGATTGTTCTTGTCAACATATTCAACCTTTGCAGTGAGACTATCATAAGAGAACTACAAGTTTTATCCGAATCTCACTATTGGTGGGAAACTAAAATACGCAGATGACACCGCGTTGATAGCAGACGCAGAAAGGAATCTCTAGACAAGACAGTAAAGGAAAGTGAGAATAAAGGACTAGCTATTAATTGTAAATCGAATTACAGTTGTCAGCAAAAGGAACAGCAGAAGATGACAACCACAAATTGGAGATGTTAAAATCAAGCAAGTACGAACATTTAAATATTTGGCAAGTGTTTCAAAAGAGGACGGAAAATGTGACTCCGAAATCCGAAGTTGCGAAAGTTGCCTTCTAGAAAGTAAAGTATTAAGAAACAAGAAAATTGTGTTAGAAAGCGTGCTCAGCTGCTATGTAATATCAGTTCTTCTATGTGGTACTAAATGCTGGACGAGAGAAGAAATGAGACAGTGAAAACGTAATCGGAACACATGCGTAAAGACAACGTTTTAAGGAAAATAGAATTAAAAAAAAGCAACTTATACTTAGAATCAGAAAGAGGTAGTTGAATTTTCTAGGACGCATAATGAGAAAAGAAGGCTTGCAAAACTCGACACTGACAGGACATATTAAAGGCATTGGAGATAGAGCTAAACAGTGAGTAACCTACCTAACTAGCTTGAGTAAATGTAAGACGAAATAGGGAGTGGGAGGAATAGTAAAATTAGAAATACTTCTAAAAGATACAAAGGATGGAAAGTTGTGGAGAACCATGACCGCCTACACATTAAAGGCACATAGAGGCACATAAAAGAAATAAGAAAGAAACATATTTTTGATCACACCTTTTATTTTTGGTAAACGTCCTTGTAAAACTGAAGATATTACTTATCTTGATCCTACGTGTAAAAAGGGCTGTAATCTCTGGGTTAGCAAGAAATCTGCTGGCAAAGGTGACTGCCACGCCAACATGTGAAAGTAACAATTTTGTTGATGGTGTAACCAGATGGAAAGTAACACCCTGTAAGCAGATAAGAGTGCTCTTTGCCCAATCGCTACCTTCAGTCAGTAAGATCTGCGGCGTGTGTTCAGTTGGCCTGAAGATGGATTAGGCCGTGAAGGTGAAAGAAAAACGCTACAGCGTTATCGGTTGAATTGAAACCGAGATCAAATATAAATGAATAAATAAAAAGATAAGATGATGCAATTTTTTAAAGTGTTAGGTGACATGCAATGGACCACGTGGATTTTACTGTATGTGATTATAATCATTTATATTAATTACAGTCAGACTAATGTCCTCATCTTTGTTGTTAATATCATAATCTTTCAATTGCTGTGACCTTTGGCCTTCTTCAGGTATCTGTCGATCTAGATAACCTTCAGAGAATTTCAAACTAAAAGATTATGCAAATAAAATGACCGGAACAGTTTCAGATTTATCTTCCAACATATATTTATATACGGCTTATAAAGAAACTCTAATGATTAAATCCAAATTTCAAATTATATAAAGTATATTAAGATAGAAAAATTAATTTTAACTGACGAGCACTCTTTTCTTTCGTATAAGCATCTTATCACAAACAAATCCTGGGTATGATGATAAACTACATCCGGCAGCAAGGCCTCTGATCGGGAGATTGGGGGTTGTGAGGAGCATGAAACCGCCTTTTAAATTTTGCTGTTCCCAAGTTTAACTTGACCTAGAGTGGTAGCACTTGTTAGGGTCCCAACTATCGGCAAATAGTGAATCGCAAAACGAAACACTATGAAAATATAAAAATATTTTTTTTTATAGTAAAATGATTAACAATACATTTTAAAGCAAAATCACCAGCTATACATTTTAACTGTAGTTGAAAGTATACAACTTGGTTCAAAATATATTTATTTGAAGCCATGAAATTGTGTTCAGATTATTTAGATCTCGGCATTAAATAATCCATAGAGCTTGATATGCCGCTGAACAAAATTGACTGACCAACCAAACAATATTGTATTAATACGTGAATCTGACAGTTAACACGCAGTGGAGATTCCGGGAGTCAGTCTCTCTCTCTCTCTGTGTATATATAGAAGAAAGTGGAGATTCCGGGAGTCAGTGTCAGTGTCTCTCTCTCTCTCTCTCTCTGTATATATAGAAGAAAGAAGTGGCGGAGAAGGAGGTTTTTCCTGTCGGAGTAAATGCTACGGTTGTATCTGTCCCGTGCCAGAGATCTCTTTTCCCTTGCGTTCTCCCCCCCCTCCAATGTTACGTAATATCTATTCTATAGTCGTGGTATGACCAGCTTAGACAAGCTATGGCCGATTTAGACCAGCACGCCCGTGTATTACCGCTCGAGTCCCCACGTTAAAAATCGACCTTGTGTCACAACCTGACTCAGTGGGGAGTCAAAGTATATCCCTGACAAACATCTTAGCAACACGATTCATGTTCAGGCTTTCTGTGAGGACCTCCTGGCTGACGGCATGTGTGGTTTATATGAGAAAAAAGTACTTAATTAAATAAAAGTAAATAGAGTAGTGTTTGAATCCTTAATCTTTATCACTCTCTATCCTGTCACTGAAAGTGACTGATACCTGAACAATAGTCTGTTTGAATTTCGTAATTGTGTTGCCATATCCTGCTATGGCAACAGAAAACAACTTTGAGTAAAATTAATAAGGATAATGCAACTGAGAGGCCTTGGAAAAGGATTGCAGTGGAAAGGGGCGTAATATTAATAATGCCGAGTGCTAAAGGTTAATTAAGATTAGGCTGAAATTTGGAAAAATAGTTGAAAACGCAAAGTAAAAAAAAACCCGAAAAGAATAAATAAAAAAAAAAAGAGAAATAAAGGGGAGCCGTGAAAGGAAAGAAAAAAGTAAGGGAAAGCATAGAAATTTATGAATACAGAGAGACAAAGGAAAAGAGCAAGAATGCTGGTCGAAAAAAGAGAGAGAAGTGTAAAAAAGAAAAGAAAAATGAGAGACACTTGAGGAAAAAATTAAAATAACAAAGAAAAAATGAAAAGAGATAAAGGAAAAAAGAAAGAGAAAAAATAAAGGGAGAAGGACGGAGTTAAAAGAGAAAGGGATACGATGAAAAAAAAAAAAAAGCAAGAAAGAGACAAAGAACCCGATGGCTGCGCAGGAATAGAAATACAGATCCAGTCTCATGAATGTTTGATGATTAAAAAGGGGAGGCAAGAAAACACAATCACTCTTATATTGACATTGCTAATTAAAGAATGTAATCCCTACTATATATATATATATATATATATATATATATATATATATATATATATATATATATATATGTGTGTCTGTGTGTGTGTGTGTATATGTATAAGTACTTTCTAGTACAAGCGTTTGCATACGCTTTGGTCCCTGGCATATATAAAGTCATAGAGTACTTTGATAAATTACAAGGAACAAGATAAGGCACGAGCTGCTCATGCGCATGCGCACTTTGGAAAAGCTTACTTTGAATTGCGATACCGGGTCCCTATCTATCTATCTATCTATCTATCTATCTATCTATCTATCTATCTATCTATCTATCTATCTATCCTCAGCATGCTCGTATCAATATATATATATATATATATATATATATATATATATATAGAGAGAGAGAGAGAGAGAGAGAGAGAGAGACATACAGACAGAGGAAGACAGAGAAAGGCAAACAGAAAAAACAGCGACGAACTGCGTCACACGAAAACATTTCCACCTTGTCATACATTCTTTTCCAGAACTGTTCTAGATATATAGAAATTTATATATCGTTATTATATATATATATATATATATATATATATATATATATATATTACTAACCTCAGTCTCTAGCTCAGCAAGCCAATGTCATAAAATTAAATGAGTCAAAAATTTCCTTAGCAAATGTGTATGAGTTAAAAAATGTAAATTTTATTATACAAGACATAGTTTTAGTACTTAAAATACGTATTACAATATATTGACATTATATATATATATATATATATATATATATATTGTGTTGCTGATTATATTTATTCATTGTAATAATCTGTTTTTGAATAAAGAAACGCTTGTATGTCCCCACCTTCGTTTCTGGCGTCTGTCTAGCTATAATATGCTCATGAGTATTTATGTTAGTGAATCGTACACCGCGTATGAAGCCTTGATTTTCTTCGTTTCTCTATATCACCGATGCTAACATTGAAATTGAAACACTAAACATACAATTTTTTAGCCTATTTAATCAATTCTAGAGTCATTCAAAGTTCACAAGACATGAAAAGCGTCCACCAGTTTTACCCGAAGTCTTTTTATATCAAAGTTGTCTGAGCTAGTTATTTTTTTAAGAATGTGTTATCAGATGAGCCACGACTTAAAGATGTTTTTGTGACCATATGAACTTATCTACCGTTTACACCGAATCAGTGTATGTAACACGAACAGCTAGATATGCATGATAGACAAGGGAGATAACTACTCTAAGGGCGAAATAGACCAAATGAAAAATAAATACGTTATTACAACCAGTTGCCGGTTTCGGAAGTTGTTAAATTCATACTTTAGAAGACTTACAAAACAATTTTAAAAGCAAGGCGATAGTGATTTCTTTCTTTCTATCTATCTATCTATCTATCTATCTATCTATCTATCTATCTATCTATCTATCTATCATCTCATTTACTAAAATTTAAAAAGTTTGCGGATTCATATTTGGCAGCGGCATTTTATGTTCGGATCTAACTCGAAAACTTTAAACTCTATTCACCAGTAATTTTTTTCCTACACAATTTTACCAATCCCTAGAAATTATAGTGCATTCGCAATTTAATTGTATTCATACAATTTAAGTGTATTCGTTATTAAATGTATGAACATACACATACACACACGCGCGCTCACACGCGCACTCGCACACACACACTTATATTTCAATCTATAAACATCATATTTAGTGGATACACGTGCTTGAGTAGATATCCCACTGTTTTAAAGTGTAAGTGTTGCTTCTCGGTCTGAGCAGTCGAAAGTCAAAATAAAGGAAATGTACCTTTAGTCAGGGTATATATATATATTTCAATAATATGAAGAAATATAGTCTTAAGATGTGCTATATTTATGGGATAAAGTGCTCAATATCAGAGATAGAGCGTGTGTAAATATAAATAGCCGAGAAAAATAACAGCACTCGTGGCCTGACGATTGCATCTAGCATGAAACAGACTGTCGCCTCTTTGACTTCTTTGTTCACTTTTATATATATTTATATTTCAATAATATATATATATATATATATATATATATATATGTGTGTGTGTGTGTGTGTGTGTGTATAGAAATATATATATATGTATTATTTATATATTATATATTAATTATATTATATATTATTTATATATTATATATTTGTCTGACGATCGCAAGGGCGTGAAAACCAGGGTTACAAATCACACCAATCCAACTATATATATATCTATATGTTGAGAGAGAGAGAGAGAGAGAGAGAGAGAGAGAGAGAGAGAGAGAGAGAGAGAGAGAGAGAGAGGATAAATATTATTCCTACATGGAAAATATACTACAATCCCATGCCTACATGCATGTATGTAACTATACATGTGGCTATATGCATAACTGTATTTAGGTATATTTCTACGAATGTTTTCCTCTGCATTGCATTTGTAACCGTATGCCCAAAACTCACGAGTGCGTATGTATCTAGATGTAAGTGTTTCTTAAACTTTTCCAATGTTTTTACTGTAGATGCGCTGAAATATTTTTTTTGTTTTTTTCTTAAGTTCTTTAGAATATTAATTATTCTTGACTTATTTTATTTTTATTTAATAGCACTAAAGACACAATTTCTCTCTGAATATTTGAGACGATGACTGATTATTGGGTTGCTCGTCCGAAAGAATAAATGAAAAGGGAGAACCCGCAGAAAATGAGCAGGCTTCACATCCGTATACGGGGCACACGGACCCGGGGGAAGACTACGACTTGAATAAAGCCGGCTTGTGTTATGGCCAACAAAAAAACAAAAAACAAAAAACAAACTCATTGACTCCTCTATAGTAGTCTTGACAGTATTCAGGGAAATTTTCAAGAAAGAGAAGGCACATCATTTAAAGGAAAGGTACTTTATGGTGGAGTAATGGATAGCGGCTCGGACTGAGGAATCAGAGAGCCGTGTTCGAATTCCATTCGAATCCATTACATTCATTTACGTGATAATACCCTTTCTCGCGATTACTATCAAGAATCGTCTTCTTCTCCCCCCTCCCCATGTCTATAGCCTTGGACGGCAACTGCTCTACCACAGAAAGTAATAACAAAAAAATTTGCGTTGTCAGTTATGTATCGAAAGATACATGATCGCCTAAGCGTGCATCACGCATGGCACATAACTTACCTACTGGGTAATCGGAATCAGGAAATAACCAAATTGCTCTACATCTTCCCTCCCAGAAAAAAGTTATTAGCAGACAACTAAGTAATTACAGATTATCAATGTGTGTAACTATAGCTGTTAATAAGTTATCTGTTAATGAATTTGTTTTCGTAATAGTGTAGGTAAATCAATAAACGTCTATTCGGCATTAAAATAAGCTAAAGGCTTGGTTCAGAAAACCATGCTTTTTCAGAAGAATATATTATGCAAGTGTCCCCACTAAATTGTTCGTCGTAAGTGTTTTTGTGCAAAATTGGGGATACTAACTGTTCACAATGAACGCACTAATGATGTCTTTACTGTAATATCGATTTAAGAATAGGGCATTAAACGATGAAACTGGCAGAACGGTTTCAATCCCGATGGATGATAAAGCAAATACCAAATACTAACAGGAAAAAAAAAATTTGAAAATCTTCAAAACAATTTTCAAAATACAAGGATCTTGAAACGGAAATCTCAAAAACGTGACACATGATGACATCAATAATTCCAGTTGTAGTTGGAGCACTCGGATTGATTGGAAAAGGTTCCGATAGACACATTGAAGGAATTTTTGGTAGCCTATGCCTTAAAGAAATACAATAAATTGTTCTCACAAGTACAGCTCACACATTACAAGGAGCTTTTATCTATGTAAAATTTGTGTGAACTTAGGCTTTTTTTTTTTTTTTTTTTATAAAAAAAATGATCAGTGGAAAATATCATGAAGCCATTTCTGACCTTAGGTCTCTGGTTGGGATTCGGAAGTCAATATGTATACAACAGAAATCAAAAGAAATAATAATAATCGAGGGTTGAGGAAGTAATGGAATACAAAAACGACAATTTTGCCAGTATTTATCGGGGCGTTAATAACAGTTCTCAAGAGCCTGATAAAAAAAAAAAAAAAAATTGGAAACCAGTGGAAAAATCGAATCATTCAAACGACAGCATTACTGAAAACAACTCCAAGACTAGAGAGGGCAATGGAACACTGAGGAGATTTGCTGCTGCTTGATCTCTCCAGTATAATGCACTAGTTACGACTGGCGTGCTCAAAACAAGGTCTGTGTCATTACACATGTTACGAGCACAATTAATATATTGACTGTAAGTGGAAAACACTGGTGTGATTGAAAATGTGTCTTTAACGTAAAAAGAGTAAATGATGCGCGTTTAAATTTCCATTAAAATATTTAGTGAATCCTTTCTTTCAGATATACATTTCTCTATGATAGAAAGTTTACATTATAAACTAAAGTCGTTTTTCTTTCTCTTTTTCTTTCTTTCTTTCTTTCTTTCTTTCTTTCTTTCTTTTTTTTATACTTCAATAGAACAATTGTGTTCCAACGAATCTTGAGGCTATTATTATTATTAAAATAAACATCATTATATTAGTATTCGTATTATGAGTAGTATTACTATTGCAGTCTATTTCATTTGTTGATATTTCCTTATTTCTATTCATTGGCGCGAAGATGCACTTTATAAGCATTGAGGTGCACAATTTACAACATTTCGCTCCATTAGTGTTATTGTTTACACTCGCGAAGCTATCTATCTATCTATCTATCTATCTATCTATCTATCTATCTATCTATCTATCTATCTATCTATCTATCTATCTTCTATCTTCCTTCTCTCTTTCTCTCTATATATATATATATATATATATATATATATATATATATATATATATATATATAAGAATAAAGATAACAGGAAACTTTCGTCCCCTGAGAGA